TAGCTGCAAAATCTGTGGCAAAAAAAAAAATCACATTTTGAGGTGTACTTTTTATTGGACACCAGCGTGTATGTTTTCATTTGATCATTCTTTATACAGTAGCAGAGAAGGAAGGGAAAGTACCTTGAAACTGCATATTTCCACGTCATTTTAATGAGCCACATCACATTTACAACTACAACATTGATAAATATACGTGTTTTATACACACATACACACACACACACACACCACTGATCATCGAAAAAGAGAAACATTGTTTTTCTTTTCCATTCAGTGCCATTTAAATACTTCAACTGAGTCAGTGTTTAGGTACATGACATAGACTGTATGTGTAAGTACAAGCAGGGTGCAGAAGTAAATTCAGAGGGGGGGGAGGGGGGAAGATGTCAGCAGAATATGAGGAAAACAGAAAAAAAAAAAATCTTTCTTTATACAGCAAACAAGTCGTATTGCACAGTGCCAAAACCCAACTAGAATGCAAAAGTAGCCTGCAGTGTAACATTTGGTTGAGTTTTTTTGTTTTGTTTGGTTTTGTTCCTCGTTGCGCATGAACAGTTAAGATTAAACGAGGTTGGAGAACAGGAACGTGGAGCCTTTGAGCTCGTCTTGATCGGGAACTTCCAGGTTGACATCGCCGGAGACAAAGTTAAGGCCCCCCAGCGTGCCGTGTTTTTGCTTTGGCTCATTCTCGCTTTCTCCCTGCCTGGGGAAAACGGTCACCAAGTATCCGTCCGACGTATCGGGAGCTCTTTTCTGGGAATATGACCAGCGGCCGTCGTTTAAAGTGTGAGCGGCCTTCTCGGCATGGCTCAGATACAAGATGGCGTCCGCGTTCAGCGGGGTGCCGCTGAGTCGGGGGCCCCTCAGCTGACCAGTCACATCCCTGGAGGTCGAGGGCAGCTGGAGGTCCAGGTCGGACCCTCTGCTTCTGGGGATGTGGTACTTCCCGGTGAAGTCGTCAATGTTGAGGTCCGAACGTGTGAAATCCACGTAGCGGCCCAAGTCGGCGTCCAGCGAGGCCACGGACCTTCCCTCAAAGCGAGAATGAGTCAAGTCCTGGTCCAAGTCGAGCCCGGGCAGCGGCACGCCGGAGCCGCCGTGCAATGACTTCCTGAATTTGAGCGTCGAGCCGTCCACCTCCAGATCGGGAGTTCTGAGCTTGGCGTTGGGTCCTGACACACTCACATCTGGTCCGTCGAGGTCGATGGCATCCGTGTCTAAATACGGCATGGTTGGCTTCAAGTTTGGACCTCTCACGTCGGGAAAACGGAGGTCTGGACCCTGCGCCCCGCCATTCAGGTCCGTGTCATACCCTGCGGACACCTTCATCTGAGGCTTCCTGTATTTTATGTCTGAGGTGTTCCAGTCCATCGTCGGGGCTTTGAGGTCCATGTTTGGCACGCCTGCTTTCGGGGTGTCCCAAGATCCTTTGACTTTTGGCGCTCTGACATTTACTTCGGCGTTGGGTCCTTTGAGCTTGCCGTGATATTTGGGGGATTTGACGTTGGGTCCGGACAACTCCACATCCGGCACCTTCAAATGCGGCTTCCTGTATTTGCCCGACGGTCTTCCGAAATCCACGTCTGGCGCACCGATATCAAAATCTGGACCATCGATGTCTGGTCCGTTCAGGGTTGGCAGATTGACTTTGGGAAGTTTGACTCTGGGCATTTTCATTTTTGCTTTGGGTGAGCCCATGTTGATATCGGGACTGTTGACGTCGAGTCCGCCTTTGAGTTTTGGTGCTTTCAGGTTTAAGTCTGGAGTCTTGACGTCCAAGTCTGGAGCACTGAGGTCCATCTTTGGCGCCTTGAGGTCGAGTTTGGGGCTCTTCACGTCCAGCTTTGGCATATTCAAGTTTGGCTTCTTGAGTTTCCCACCAATGTCTAGATCCAAATTCGGTTTAGAACCTTTGAGGTTGACCGTGGGAGCGTTGATGTCCAGATCCGGAGCATCAAGATCGACATCCAGGTCTGGACCTTTAAGGCTCGGACGCCTCAATTTGGGTATCCTCAGCTTGCGAAACTTAAATTTAGTTTTCGGGGATCCAATGTTGATGTCTGGAGTTTTTACATCTAACTTTGGAGCTTTAAGGTCCGCGTTGGGTAAATCCAAATCTGGGCCGTCAAAGCCACCTTTTATCTTTGGAGCTTTCAGATTAAAATCTGGACCATCCAGATCTGGCAAGTCCAAATGTGGCCCTTTGAGGTCTAGTCTGGGACTTTTGAAATCAAATTTTGGCATTTTCAGATCGGGGGCGTTTATCCCACCGCGGAGATTAGGACCGCTGAGGTCCAGGTTGGGGGAGTTAAGATCCAGGTTGGGACCATCTATCTTTGGACCATCGAGGTCCAAATCTGGCATGTTCAAGTTTGGCTTTTTGAACTTTCCATCAATGTCAACTTTTGGCATCCCTAAGTCAGCGTTGGGACCTTTGAGTTTTAACGTGGGCGCGTTGGCGTTCATGTCCAGACCATCGATGTCTGCATCGAGGTCAGGACCTTTTAGGCTCGGACGATGGAATTTAGGCATCTTTAATTTGGGCTTCTTCAATTTTGCCTTTGGTGAACCCATATTGATGTCAGGGGTTTTCAGATCTAATTTTCCACCTTTAAGATCTGCATTAGGCAAGTCCCAGTCGGGGCCATTCAGGCCACCTTTTATCTTTGGAGCTTTCAGGTTGAGGTCTGGACCATGAAGATCAGGCAAATCCAAGTTTGGGCTTTTGACGTCCAGTGTGGGGGTCTTAAGATCAAGCGTAGGCATTTTCAGATCCGGTGCATTTATTCCACCGTGGAGTTTCGGACCGCTGAGGTCCAGGTTAGGAGACTTAAGGCCTAGGTCGGGACCATCGAGGTCCAAATCTGGCATGTTCAAGTTTGGCTTTTTGAACTTTCCATCAATGTCAACTTTTGGCATCCCTAAGTCAGCGTTGGGACCTTTGAGTTTTAACGCGGGTGCGTTGATGTCCATGTCCAGACCATCGACGTCAGCATCGAGGTCAGGACCTTTTAGGCTGGGCCGCTTGAATTTTGGCATCTTTAATTTGGGCTTCTTCAATTTTGCCTTTGGTGAACCCATATTGATGTCAGGAGTTTTCAGATCTAACTTGCCACCTTTAATATCTGCATTAGGCAAGTCCCAGCCTGGGCCATTCAGGCCACCTTTTATCTTTGGAGCTTTCAGGTTGAGGTCTGGACCATGAAGATCAGGCAAATCCAAGTTTGGGCTTTTGACGTCCAGTGTGGGGGTCTTAAGATCAAGCGTAGGCATTTTCAGATCCGGTGCATTTATTCCACCGTGGAGTTTCGGACCGCTGAGGTCCAGGTTAGGAGTCTTAAGGTCTAGGTCGGGACCATCCAGATCAAAATCTGGCATGTTCAAGTTTGGCTTTTTGAACTTTCCATCAATATCAACTTTTGGCATCCCCAAGTCAGCTTTGGGACCTTTGAGTTTTAACGTGGGTGCATTGGCGTCCATGTCCAGACCATCAACGTCGGCATCGAGGTCAGGACCTTTAAGGCTTGGACGCTTGAATTTTGGCATCTTCAGTTTTGGAAACTTAAATTTGGTCTTTGGTGAGCCAATGTTAATGTCCGGAGTTTTCATATCTAACTTGGGCGTTGTCAGGTCCGCTTTGGGCAAGTCCACGTCAGGGCCATGGATTCCACCTTTTAACTTGGGAGCTTTCACATTCATGTCTGGGGCATGAATATCTGGCAGATCCAAATTTGGGCCTTTGAAGTCCAGTGTGGGGGACTTGAGACCGAGCTTAGGCATCTTAAGATCTGGTGCATTTAACCCACCGTGGAGGTCCAGCTCAGGAGACTTGAGGTCTGGGTTTGGGCCAACGACATGATACATGGGCATCCCCAAGTCAGCTTTGGGACCTTTGAGTTTTAATTTGGGTGCCTTGATGTCCATGTCCAGACCATCCAAGTCCGCATCAACGGCGGGACCTTGCAGGCTTGGACGGCCAAATTTGGGAATCTTGGTTTTGGGCAAGTTTACTTTGGCATTTGGTAGGTTCAAATCTAACTTGGGAGCTTTAAGGTCTGCGTCCCAGTCGGGGCCATCAAGACCACCTTTGAACTTGGGAGCTTTCAGGTTCACGTCGGGGCCATTCAGATCGGGCATGTTCAGTTTACCTGATGGCATGTCCAAATTTGGGCTTTTGAGGTCAAGTTTGGGGCCCTTGAGACCGAGTCTGGGCATTTCCAGATCAGGTGCACCGACTCCACCTCGGAGATCTGCACCACTGATGTCCAAGTCGGGAGATCTGAGGTCTAGGTTAGGGCCATCAAGATCATAATCAGGTATCCCGAAATCAGCGCTGGGACCGCCGAGTTTGAATTTGGGTGCATCGATGTCCATGTCCAGACCATCCAAGTGTCCGTCGAGCTCAGGTCCTTTGAGGTTAGGGCGGCTAAATTTGGGCATTTTTGGAGCATCCATCTCTAAGCCAGCACCTTTGAGGTCCAAGTCAGGACCATCAAAGGCGCCTTCTATCTTTGGACTTTTCAGACTCCAGTCGGTGGTATTCAGACCTCTGATGTTTGGCTTTGAAAGACTGACATCCGGACTCGAAATGTCCATGCCAGGCAGATCCCCATCAAAGTCTGGAACCTCAACAGTTGGTAAGCCAAACTTTGGCATGGAGAACTTGGGCGCTTTGTACTTTCCGGGGGGCACTTTGGAGCGAACCGCTGGGATTGGCGCAGTGACCCCCTGCAGGTGAAGATTTGGCGCGGTGAAATCCCCTCTGATCCCAGAAGCTTTGACGTCAAAGTCACCCGAGGGGCCGTCCACATCTAACGTGGACCCCCGAAGACCCGATCGGGCACTCCGACCATCCAGATCAAACCGGGGCGCATTTAATCGAGACGATGGTCCGGCCAGATGCATAGTCGGTGACATGTCATAACCGTCCACATCAAATTCCGCATCGCCGTGAGAGAGGCGGTACGTTCGGAACCTCCCGTCAGTGCCTCTGAGGGCCATCGCGGCGTCCACATCATCTCCATTGTCATAAATTCCAGACACGAGTCCAGCTTGCGCCCGACCGCCATTGTTCAGCTGCTGCGGCACCTGAACCCGTCTGCCGGCTTTCACCTGGCCCACGCCCAGAGGCGGGAGGTTCAGGTTGGCCCCCTGTGCAAATGCTCCCGACGCGTAGGCGGCGCGACCGGTCTCCGAGCCGGCGCTGAAACGCCGGACGAGCGCGGTGGGGCTCAGGCGTCCAAAGTCCACCCCCAGGCGAGGCAAGTCCGAGTCTCGCTTGGTCTTGCGTCTGGCGGCGTGAGGCAGCGTCTGCACAAAGTCCCTCGGGTTCTCGCCATCGGGCGAGTCCTTCCGCATGAAGCGCTTGATTTTGGCGTTGTAGAGCTTGCTGTAAGAATCGCGCAGCATCTGAGAACAAACAGACAAAAAAGTGTGGCGTGACGACATCGGCGGTCCGCGGGGCGCTAGTCCAAGTGGCGACTTTTACCATTTCAGGACTGACGGCCAACTGATCCAGGTTCCCCGTGCTCTTGCTCATGTTGTTCCTGGTGAGCACTTGGATTCTGTCATCGTACGGCTCCATCAGCTTCAGGACCCCCATCACCTCCTCTTTGCTCAGTTGGTCGAACTTGATGGTGGCGCCAACCACTTCGTCCCCTGAGGAACGCAAACGGACACCGGTGGGGCGGGTCGGAGTGTTGCAAAAACAACATTTTTTGCTCACGCTGCTCAGTGAATCCGGTTCAGGGGCAGAATTTTCCAAATAGCATCTGGAGACTTTTTGTGAGGGTCTGCTCATTCACGACCCGACTGTCGGGTGAATTTTTGGGTTTCCGTTCGCGAGCAATATTTTCTCAACGCGGCTGCAAAAAATGTGTTTGGATTGTGGGCGAGCGCTTCCGATTGGACGCTAAACGAGAAGGACGGCGTTTTCGAACCTTCCCTCAGCTTTTGATTAGCTCCATCCACGTCGTCGTCGATGTTGGCAATGACCAAGGCTCCCCGCTCGGATCGCTCCAACGTCAGGGCGTCGGTGAGTCTGCGCCTACTGGACATAGCGGCCTGGGGGGGGGGAAGTGTGGGAGGGGCTTGTCAATCGCAAGCAGTTCAGATGGACTCTTTGACTCGGGACTGTTTGTTACCATTGGTCGTCACGGGTGTCGTGTCTCACTGTGACGAATGAACCTGTGGGACAGGAGGAAAAAAAAAAAAAAAAAAAAAAAATCCGCAGTCAGTGTGCTAAAGCCAATCCGGATTTGCTTTGATTTTTGTTGAGTTTTTTGATGTTCAAAAACATTTTGGTGACAAAAGAAAAAAAAAAGAAAAAATTCCTTCGGCGGCAACGTACGAGCCCCGTTTTCAAAGTTTGGGACCGTGTCTTTTTTTTTTTTTCTGGAATTTTTCTTGCACGCGTTAGGAGTCACGTGTCCACCGGATTTTTTTTTTTTAACTTTCCCAGAGGTACGACTCGGGGAAATGTCGTCAAAAGCGGCTCCTGTTCAATTTCACGCACGGAAACGGGATCCGGGCTGTTTTTTTTTTTTTTTTTTGCAAACTTCCCAGGCGACACGACTGAAGGAATTTTTCTCCAAAGCCTCTTCAATTTTGGCTGCCTGGGACTTTTTTTGGTGGGCCCTCTTAGGACAGACATTTCCGTCCAATTTGGTGCCGATTGGTCAAAATGGCGTTGGGGCAATTTTTTTTTTCTCTCTTTGTGGTGGCGCTACCAAGTGTGTTCTTGGGGCTTGGTGGGAGGGGGGGGTGAAGACCCCCCCCCCCCCCCCCCCCCCCCCACACACACACACCACCACCACCACCAAATCTCAACATTTTCATTCCAAATTGGTGGGTTTTCGACCATGATGAAAAATAGCCCCGGAAAAAAAAAAACAAAAAACAAAACAAAGTCATTCCGTCACCATGAAAAAGAATTCCAAAGTGAATGGCTGACTTTGTGCGTGCATGTGTGTGTGAGAACAAGTGAGCTGGTTTGCGCCCGTCGGCCCACGTGGGAAGGTCGGCCAGCGGCAGGAATGCGCGGCGGAGCGTCAGCGAGGAAAAACGAGTTTATCGGGAGGGAGCGCGGCGATGTTTTGGGGCGTTTCCCCCCCCCCGCCGGAGCCATGTAGAGTTTCGTCATTTTGAAATCGGCGCTCAAGTATGCCCGCAATGCGCCGCGCCGAGATGAAAGAACACGCCTTGCGGTGGGAAAAAAAAAGTTCTTCTCCACGGCGTCCAGCTTTGGAGCGCTCGCGTCCGCGCCAAATGCGCGCGCGGGTGGAAACGCGAGGCTCGGCCGGAGCGGCTGCGAAAATGAAAAAAGGGGGAAAGGAGCGACGAGTTGCAAAGGGGATGCCCTGCCTTGGTTCCCAGGGGGCCAGGAGAAAAAAAAAAAAGGACAAAAGGAGCGAGACGGCGCCCGCCGCCCACTCCAACTTGAGCCCAGACCTCCCAAACGCAACACAACTCGCAAAAGTCACTTGCGAAGCGCGGCTGCTCGATTGAGTGAGAAACGCTTTTGTTTGCCAAAACGTCTTCAATAATGAGCTATTGCACTTTTTTTTTTTTTTCCATTTCCACTCTCAGTTTTTTTTTTTCTCGCCATGTATTGGCGTCTAACTTCGCCAACTAAAACATGAGAATGTAAAGCAACAGATCACCATTTGGGTTGCTGTTGGGTTCTGTTTGCTGCGAAATCACTTTTTCTTTCATTTTCACAAGGTATGGGCAAGTATCGGATGTGCCGATGTACATCGACCATCATTGTTTTTTTTTTTTTTTTTTTTGGGGGGGGGGGGGGGGGCCAAATGTTAGGTATCAAAAGTACCAATGGTATTTATTGGTTAACGGTGACCACTCGAGAATAGAGTACAGCGATCCCTCGTTATTTCACGTTTCGTTTATCAACGGCTTCGGTGCAAGTCGCGGATTTTTTTTTTTTTCAAACATATTCATAACAAAATAATAACAATAACATTTAAGTTTGCAAATTTACCAGCTTCACCCCCTGGTACCTCCAACCATTGATGACTACGAAATTGACTTCTACATGCATGGAGACCATAGAAATATTTTTTTTATACTCATACACATGTACATGTACCTATACGGGGGAGCGGGTCGGGGGGGGGGGGTCGCTACTTCACGGATTTTCGTTTATCGCGGGTGGTTTCGGTCCCCCCATTCACCGTGATAAACGAGGGATTACTGTACTCGCACAAAAAAAAAAACTTTCCAAAACAAAGCAGAAAAAGTGTGAGCGAACATCCCCAAATGTTCGCACGTTCCTCAATCTGGCCGGCAGGAAATCAAAACATGACGACACGCTCAATCTGGGACCTGGTCCCAGCGTGATCCCTTTTTTTGGGGGGGGGGGGCGCAAACAAAGCGGTCGGCCGTTGCATTCCGCGCAGGTTGGAAAAGTGGCCGCACCGAGTCGGACTCTTTTTTCTTTGCAGCTTCTCTCACTCGACGGGGTGATCGGCGCACGCGCAAATTCGCTCGGCGGCGCAAAAGTGCAACACAACAACAACCTCCGCGACGGCAACACAAACACCCGGCCGGGACGTCCTTTGCCGGAACGCGGCAACAAAATCGCAACTGACCTGACGCACCACCATCGGCGTGCGTGCGCTGGAATCCGTCCGTCGGTCCGTCCGTCCGTCTTTCCGTGTGTGTGTGCGTGCGCGCGCGCGCGCGTCCGAGCAGGAATGCGGGCGGGCGGCGGCGGCGTGGAACAGGTGGACCACATGAGCGCCTGAAAGCTGACAAACGGGTTACACCCGCGTCGAACGGGCCACGCCCCTCAAACACGCGCGTGAATAAGACACGCCCCTTCAGGTGAGCGAGGTGACAAGGGGGACGCACGTACACACCACGTGTGTGATTCTTTGCGTGCGAATACGTCTGACGACACGTGACGTTTGTCGTGTGCGCGTTCGCGCGCGTGCGCGCGCCTTGTGTGTGCGCGTTTCTGTCTGCGGTGCATTCGGGCGTCAAGGTGTCGTGTACATTCAGTCGTTGCGTGCGTGTCTATGGGACAAGTCATCTGGTTTAGGGTGTGCGTGTATTTCTCATCTGTGGATATGGCGCGCATTTGTGCGTGTGTAAGAAAGGGCCACACCCCGGCGGATGTTAATTGCGGGCGTTGACGGTGAGTCAGCGCAATGGCGCGTGCGAGATGCACGCGACGGCTTATGTAAGTCGGCGCGGAAATGTCGCGCGAGCGGCGGCGGCGGCAAGGCGAGCAAGACTTGAAGCCGCACGCATGGTGGGCGCGAGACGGGATATTTTGGGAGACTTTTGCTTTTGTGCGGAGTCGTCAAACTTGGCCGCCGCCGCGCCGCGCGCGCGTCATGAGCAAAACCGGAATGGCGTTGAAATTGGGTGCAACTCCGCATCAATCTTCAGAGGAACTCTTATTGAAATGTTTGTCAAGTGGCAAAGTCCTCCCCAGCAAAATGGTGGACTTCTCGGGTCATATTTGGGCGGGGCCTATTTTTGGTTGCTCTCCTCGTGATGGGCCTGCCTTGTCAAATTTCAGGTTGTTCAGTCACGCTGGCTTCTGGGTCGCATTTTTTTTTTTGGGCAACATGACATAGAAGTGGTTCACTCCAAAGTGGAATTGCAAAGCATTTCAGCCTTTTTTTTTTTTTTTTGGTGGGTCTCCTCATGATAGGATTTGCCTGCCAAATTTCAGGTTGCTCAGTCACACCAGGGGGGGGGGGGCCTCTGGAGCTGAATTTCCAAGTGAAACGCACACAAAAAGAGTTGACTTTGCACACGACTTGATCGCACGACACAACATGTCGTCCGTCGTGTGTGCCCAAGAACAAGTTTGTCTTCCAACGTGATTTTTTTTTTTTTTTTAATCCAAACACGTAAAAATAAGTCAAACTCTTCACATCGTCACGAAAACATAAACTACAAGTGTCACAAAACGAGGGCGTTGCAACAAAGTAAGGGTCACTCGGTGATAAGATATTGATTTTTTTTGGGGGGGGGGGGTTCTAACTGTGACTTTTTTTTTGTGGCGCCATTGCAGAGATGGGAGAATTTAACCACACGAGTGCTCGCTCGCAAAGCTTTGAATGGGTCGGCACTTGAATTCACAAAACACCGCAGCTCTGCTTACCTTTTGAGTGTTTCTCGCAGCGCGGGTGCGGGTGCGGCAGCGAGACTTGAAAATGATCGACAACCAAAATAGCGTCGCCTTTCAAAGGCCTTCGAGCGAAAAGCTCGACGCGAGTCAAGATTTCCTTTTCCCGGAAGAAAGGACGGCCCGCC